TCTGGATTGGCCACTTCGATTTTTGACCATTCCCTTGTTACAATTAGATAAAGCATTAAGCTTATCTCATCCTGCTTTAATAGGACTGCTTCCGACTTCTCAGAGCTTTCAAAGCCGATCCGAACATGACAGACACTAATGGAAACGCTGTAGTACATATGACCGTCATACATGATCTACCTGTAAGTTACCGTATCTCAGCATACGGTATCACCTCTAACGCATATATTCAGGAAATGTTCACTTTGGCATACAGCAGTGGAGCATCGCTGAGCTTGCGGAACAATCTAGAACTAACTCCATTGGCACTAGCAGCGCGTCTGGCTAATAAAAGGGTAATTCCGCATTTTAGACGAGTTCAATCAGTCACTTCTCACATCAGATGTTCTCACTGATTCTTGAAAGTGAAATGGATATTGTCTGGAGATACGGAGATATTGTTTGCAAGGCTTATCCGCTGTTGGAAATTGATACAATTAGGGAAGAAGATGGTGGACTGAATCCTAATTCTGTCCTTGCCAATGTTGTCTATGGGGTATTTGGTGAACAAGGAAGTTCGAGATAATCATGGCGCATTACATTTAAGGGTAAAAGCAGCCACCTCGATTTTTTCGATGGACTGTTGGAGGAACTGCTCGAGAGAAAGTGGGAGACTTTCGCAAAACGAAGGTAATCATTCGTGAAAAACTTTTATGTCTGTCACTTTGTAGAAAATTCGAAAAGCCAAAAGTTCAACGTGAAAGGAATCAAACGCATTTTTCATGGCATCTTCTTTCCAGGCTTTTCCAATCACTGTTCTGTTATCTTTGGTTCCTGCTGGTATTCTATATAGCATTTATGACTCGCGATGTTTACGAATCGGTTCGTTTATAGACTTAATACATTCTGCTGTGAAAAGAAAAAGATTCACTCCAACATTTCCGTCTAAATTTTTGCCAACTTTGCACCATGTTCCCATTTTAGTACTTGCCTGACAACGGAGACGCATTTGTGAACAGCTCTAATCATGTTGTCGTGACAGTGCAACATTTGTCATATCTCGATAGCACACGCTACGAAATGCTACAAGGACAGTGCCATCTGTGGAAGTACTCGGGCAGCTGGAAACGATTGGTAACTCAGTACTACATGCTTACCTAGTGAACTGCTCGAAACTTTATGTGTTTGAGGACGGAAAGGGTCAAGGGCTTGAAGGCAGTGTCCGGGCAGAATTTCGAACAAAGCTTTTTTCCGTACCCTGGCTTATGCTTCCTGCTAAATCTGAAACTTGCAGTGTACGAAAATGTCGAAAACGAGCTAATCCAGAAGC